AAAATGCTTCAATAAAAATTTAACCTTAATTGCTTTATACGGTCCAAATGAGGATAATCCAAACTTTTATTCTTCAATTCACCACAAGATAGAAGCTATTGGAAATGATTCTATTATAATCGTCGGAGATTTTAACGTGCCCTTAGACTATCAAAAAGATACTATCAAATACAAGCACGAAAAAAATCCTAACACCAGAGAGAAAATTTTAGAAATGATACCAGATTTAGATCTGGTTGATGTATGGAGGGAATATTACCCAGATATATCTAGATTCACATGGCATGGCCCAAAGAGTAAGCAAGCTAGATTAGATAACTTCTTAATCTCCGCTGACCTTCAACCTGGTACGATGAAGACCGACATAGGATATGCCTACAAGTCTGACCACTCTTTCATTGAAATTTTCTTCAAGTTCGCAAACCAAATTCGATGAAGAGGTAGCTGGAAATTTAATAATGGTTTACTATCCAATCAAACCTATCTCCAAAGTATTAAAGAATGCATTTCAGAAACTATTGCACAATATGATACAAATAATAGCTGTACAATTAATGATCAATTACTTTGGGAAACTTTGAATTTAATGATAAGAGGAAAAACCATATTATATACCTCATTCAAGAAACGCGGTAGAGATAAAACGGAGACCAGAACTTGAGGAAAAATTATCTATATGAAAAGCCTCTTTCAGAGGAAAATAAATTAGAAATCGTTATAACAGAAAATGAGTTAAAGCAAATAAGGGGAAAAAGGTCAAAAGGTATCGTTATTAGTGCAAAGGCAAAATGGAATGTAGAAGGGGAGAAAAGTACCAAATATATCTGTAATTTAGAGAAACAAAATTATACAGAGAAATTATTTCAAAAATTATAATTGACGACTTGGAAATCACACAACTTCCGCACATTTTAAAAGCTCAGGAAAAGTTTTATAAAGAGCTATATACTGCAGGGGATCACATAACAAAAGTACACGCAGGAATGTTTTTTGATTCTAAAACGAGTATATTGAAAGACTCACAGAGGATGAAAAAAATGAATTGGAAGGTCTAATCACTAAACAGGAACTTGTTGCATTACAAATTCCAAAAATTGGAAAACCCACCGGACTTGGTGGTTTTACATATGAATTGTATAAGTTCTTCTGGAAAGATATCTATAAATATTAGCTTAATCCTATAAACCATGCGTATTCTATAGATTCTATATCAACTTCACAGAGGCAAGGAGTGATAACATGCCTTCCTAAAAGTGGCAAATCAAAACTGTATTTAAAGAATTGGCGACCGATATATATAAGTAAGACTTTTTCAATCCATTTCTTCCAGGTCTGGTAAAAAAATTTAGCGTCAAAATCATGGTTTGGTTGGATGAAGTATGTTTTCTATTGTTGTCTATTGCGGCATGCTCTCGAACAATTATATATAACAAAGAAAAATGCCACTTTGTTGCTGGATACAAAATATTTTCAATCTCTGCACTCACTTAAAATGGTCCAAACTTCTGACATCATGTTTCAATATTCTGCTGCCGCCTGGTCTAATAGAAAATTTTAGTTTTAACTAGACAATGTTTTATAAGAACGTGTAAGCCATCGTAGCCTAAATTGTAAGAGTATAATTGAACATCGAGCATAATCAAATAATGTTACACGTTCCAGAACTCCGGTATTTTGTAAATCATATTGTCGATAAAATGATATTGTCAAGAAACATTACCTATCATATGGTCATATTTTGACCGACTTCTTTCAATCCAATATTGTAAAGCATTTAATTATGATGTTTACTGATTGTTACTTCGCAAGCTTAGGCTGTCGTCTACTGGGCTCATGTCACGTTTGATCGGACAGGTCAAAAGAGGATTCTTTTTCTTTTTTATGAATTTGATGCCATCTCTGGAATTCCGGGTTGTCGTGTCTAATACCCTTTTTACATTTTTGAATTTATGTTTTTCGGAATACTAATCATTATTTTCACCATTTTTTTCTCATTTAAAGTATTAAGTGCTTTACCGTAAAAAAAATTATATTGATTTATGGTAAAAATATCTAGTTGCTCTTGATCTGCTAACACTTTCCTGTAACTTGACATGAATGCATAAAAAGAAATAATCTCGTTATTGCTACTTTACGTTTAAAACGAAAAAAACTTCAGTAATAGTAATCATTGTCATCTACGGAGAGATAATACAGACAAAAAAGTGGATGCCTTGATTGGTACATATATTTTTCACCCTTTTTAGCTAAACAAATGATAAAAATAAATTTCTACAATTAAAATGTAAACTTTTTTCTGATTTTCAAAACATTTCTACAACTTTTATACTTTTTCTACAACCATCCTTACATCCCTATACAATGTTTCTTTATAGGTACTTGTATTATTATAATTACACATTAAGAAAAAGTTCAGTCAGAATTTTTAACTTAAAAACTATTTCCTACAATTCAATTTTATAACATATTTAAGTTAAACAATGCAAATTGTTCAAAATTCATTTTTTAAAAATAAAAAAAAACCAACTGCTTACGAATCAGAAGCAAGAGTAATATTTTTTGTGTGTGGAAGGGTGTGGAAGGATATTTAGAAGAAAATTTCTCAAATCTACACATTTAATTTGTTAATTTGTTAACTTAGTACTTTAGCCCCACATGTTTTCCTCAGAGAATATTTTCTGTAATGAAATGTTACGAATAATAAGAGGCCGACTGCGCAATATTTCGCACATCATAGTAAAATGAAACGTATTTACTGTTTTAAAGCAACTTTTTTTTTTTGCATAATTATTAACATTAAACAAAATTAAGAAATTTTAGGTATAAAAATGATATCAAAATTTTATATACCTGATTTTTTGACCGATTTTGCAATTGATAGGTTACTTGACGTCGTTACAGTGTGTTTTGACGTTATAATAAACAGAAGCTCTAAAAGAAAGGGGTGATTAAAATGTTATTAAAGAAAAACTAGTAAACATACGCTCTTGAAATATAAAACATAGAAATTTGAGAATATCTCCAATATTTTATTATGTTTTCACATAAATCCATTGTGCCTTTCATATTTTGTAGTACTGTGTAAAAACAGGCAAATATGTTGGGTTTTTTTTTTGGGGGGGGGGGCATTTTGAGATGCCCCCTCTGGTAACAAGACGATATACTTTTGTGTTTCTTACACATATTGCATAATATAGTAATGATCAAATATTATAGTTTGAACAAAAATGCTATTGTAGTATTTGTATAATTTACTTTAAAGTGCTTAAGCTCACATGGTTTTTCACACAAACTAAGGTCACATTGTTCAGTTGTTATAATGTAATATTGTGTGTTGAGACATCAAAATACATTTTAAAAGTATTTGTATACATTATTTCAGTTATGTTTCATTTACTAAAACATAATTTATACAAATCAATTGCTAGAACTTTAATATATTCTTGGCTGAAAAACATCAATTATTTCCAATTGATTTTTTGTAGTCTCTTGCCAATTGCAGCTGTCTTTTTATCCGTTCTTTTAAAAGCAGCAGCTCTTTGCAGAAACATAGACACGGGCACAGTACAGCTACTGTAACTTGTATTTTCTGTACATTCTGACTTTTTATATAATTAGCGCAGGATGATAATAGTATTTTTCATTTGTTTGACTTTTTTGTATGTTAATAAGATGACATTTTTCAGAGTCACCTTCTAAAAATCTAGAATCATAAAAGATTCATCCAACAGCAAAATGATAACGTTTCAAACCGTAAATGCAGAAGAATTTTCCTTTTCATCCAAAACATTTACTATTAAGAAAAAAACAATGCTTAATTATCCTACCCTGTTGTATGGTTTCTCTCTGCAATGTTATCCCTTTTCGGTGCTACATTTCTACAAAACCCAGATGTGAATGGTAAATGAGCAAAGAATTTAAAAAAAAAACTCACCTTTAAGAAAAAGATTTAAAATTTTCAACTACATTGTATCAAAGAAAGCACGTCTTAGAAAAACTATGGTAGAGGTCAATAGTAGAAACATTGTAGGCTACCATTTATTGATAAATTCCTTTCTAAAACACCCACTTTGGAAACTAAAGATAATACTTTTAAAGGACATTTATACTTGACATTATATATGTAATATGACATAGGGCTATGTCGTCGTTCTGAGGTTCGAAAATAGTAATTTTTATTACAAAAATGTGACCTTAAGAGCGTGTCTCAGAGAAAAACCATGCAAAATCTGAAAAATCGTCCGGGAGGGTCTACATTACTTTTCATTTTATCATATATTTTTAAGGTCTAGGTTGTCTGAGGATCTAAAAGTTAAATTTAGAAAGTGTGCCACGTGTTTCTATTTTTAGTAACAGCCCCGTTTCTATATTTAGCAAAAATTGGCATAAAATAGTACATGTAGGTGCAAATATGAAAGTTTGAGACCTTGCAAAATCAACTGAAAAATTTTTGCAATGCCAGATATTTATTATATTATCAACACATATATGTCAAAGATGAAAAATATTTATTTTTCACAATGATTGCATCTATATGTATTCTATGATCGAGCCACGAGTTAGGCTAAATTTAGAACTTTAGATTTATTATCCTTGTTTAGTCCAATGGTACAGCTTAAATGGTGAAAATAATTTGATCTAATAATGTGCTTTATAATAATTCATTTATGTTCTATCAAATATAAAAAATTCACTGATGGCTTTTAATAGGACATAAAATGAATAATTGGTGGAAATGATGACCTTACGCATGTTACGATGTTAGCCAAACTCTCCATTTGTATCTTAAAATTGTTCAAATGTAATGAATATTGCTTCAATTGATGATTAATAATTCTATTTTAGTGTAAATAAATGCTGAGAAAGACAATCAAAATTAAAACCTTCATGAAAGTTTAAAAATATTCACCAAAATTGATAATGAAAGAATAAAATGAGTGTTATTTGTATGTTGAAAAGTTATCTCCCGTAGTGGAACTCTCCATACATAAAAGGGGGAAAATGATATTGCAACATGGCAGGGACAGGAAGATTAATCTGATTTCAGCAATTTTTCAAACATTTCAAGCAGTGATGGCCCCATAAATTCATTTATAAGAATATACTAAGGATCTGTCAAACCATTTGCGTTTTCTCCAATCTCTGAACATACCCTAGCTGGGTTGTATGGAAAATTTCTGACGTACCAGAGGCAATCGTTTTGCTGCATGCTGTAGGCGAAAATGGTATTTTTTCCATTGACTCTACTAGCACATTAAAATTAAGAATATGTCAAAGACAATTAAGGAATAGAATGGCGAAGAAGTAAGTCAAAGTGCTGCCGTCCCGGTCATAAGGAAGAAAGCAAAAGCAGACCGATGATCTACCCCTACCTTTTGTAAAGAATACTGGTTGAAAACGAGATACATTATACATGTACAAGTTTGATCAGGTAGGACATAAACTTTTCAGTTGGAAGTTAAAATAATGAATGTATTTGTTCTCTATTTTATAATTGGTTGTGATAGGGGAATAGGACAGGTGGTTTAAACTCGGATCAGATTAAACAATTGTTTGATCTTTTTTCTTAGAAATACATGTAATATACAAGTTCTATAAAATTGAAGAATTGTGCAAGCAGTGTGCTTCTCATAGGCAGTTTGGACCAAGGAGTGTGACAGTGGTTTTAGAAGAGGAAATAGGTATATTTTAATACATGCAAGGACGATTTCTAAAATTTAGATGATCACACAAATATTTCATCACCATGATTACATAAAGATTTACACAAAATTAAATTGAGTGCCTCTAATTTTTTCAAATTGATGATATTTTGAAAATCAAGAATATTGATTGATAAAAGATCATAAAAATATACTGCCACTCATAAATTTTATACTGAAAATTTTAGCATGTACATGTACTAGACAGTATATGATAGCTAGTACAGCTGGTGTATTATAGAGATTTTAAACATCTCCCATATATTTTATAATTCCTCTCTTGAATTATACATTATTTACAATTGATTAAAATTCTTTTTTATAGCAACAGTTGTCCATGTGCAGCAGTATTTATTGGATCCAACCAAATCAGAAGAGAAAACCCTGAGCCAAATTCATATGGTATAGTGTAGGTCAAGAAAGTTTATATTTTTCACTGGTCACTTAGACAATCACCTTGATTTTTGAATAACTCAATACTTTTATTATCCCACTGGACCTTAAAAGAACTGGCCAAAATGCAAAATTTATAGTAATACTTGTTTAGGCCAAAATAAAAAAAATACCTTTGTTTCCCCTAATGCGACCAACCCATTTAAATCGCACGGACTGAAAAGATTTTTTAAATAAGACGATTCAATATTTTTTTTATTCATAAGAAGTTTTATAAAGTACAATTTCATCAAAATCAGCTTTTAACAGAACGGCGAACATTGTTCTATTGTGATTTTCAAGCATTTGTTGGAAACAAAATGACGTCCAGATGTGATTACAGGAGTTGTAAATATGTCTGCATATCCATCCTGATAAATATAATTCAGATGTCCTCTCTTCATGCCTTTATTTAGTACTATGACATTGTGGTTTGGTTCTATTAAATATTGCTAACATACTCTTACCAAATAATTTTGAAATCATGGTTCAGCTTCCTGGGACGTTCAGTGAATTTTTCTTTAATTAATTAGGCCGTTGAAGATTGGTCTTTGCTTTTAATCCCTTCGAGATTTGTTAGGACTTCATTTAAACATTTCCACATTGCTCCAAATTCAGACATATATATACTCAGCACTTTTTTGCCATTAAGCAGTGGGGGATCTTTTTGAGCCAGCATCTTCTGCGACACTTGACGCTTGACATCAGTTTTTATGGTCCCTTTTTAAAGACCGTTTTCAACGTTACTCATTGGGATTTGATCCTGCGATTTAAAATTAGCCACTTACTCTTAACTCCGAAGTAAAATGCTCCAGAACCACTGCAAAGCTCATGGCCCTCAGAAAAGTGCATTGATTGTCTATAAGCATGCTGTCAGAAAATAAAATTGTTCACCTACCTACCGACCCAACTTGAGAATTTAGGCTAGGGTTAGGGGAAACAAAGATATTTTTAATTCCGGCCTTATATTATGATACTTTGTAATAGTGCAACATACATGTAACAAAACAAGCCAAAAGTCTCTGTTGAAACTGTAGCTCTATTGGTTTGTACTTATAGCAAATAGAAAAAGGAAGAAGTAGCAGTTGGGTCTTGAAACTTTACAACTGCAATAAATAGAATAATGATCCTTGATAAAGCCTCTTCTGTGGCAAGCTTGCAATAAGACCACAACTGTAGGAGCAGCTTTTAATTAAATTTTACAAAATTTTCAATTTTAGTTATGATGACAAAATCATTCATCTATATATCAAAAAAACAAAATTAACAATTATGTTTCTCTGTGTAGTCTATTTACATGCCATGTTATATTATAATCAGACTAAAATTGTATTTGGAATAGCCTTTTGAAAGTATTTCATAGAAATTTCTATTTTTATTAAAAATGACAACACCGTTCATCAAAATAAAAAAACGATACATTTATCTGATAATTTGCAATTTAACCGTTTACAAAATCACATGTCATGACATATGATTTATTGGGATTGTGGTGGATAAACATGGTAAAGTCAAAGTAAAAGTACTTTCAAATGAGGTCAGTTATCAAATTTATTCTAAAAGCACTGGGGCACTTTTTTTTCACGATTCAGTACGAGATCAATGACGTACTGAAAGTGGTTTGTTTTCCAACACCATATTTATTCATCCTATCTCTATGAAAATTACATTTAATAATTGGTCTTTGAATATATCACCACCTTCATCTAAGTTAAATTGTTTACGGTGCATTTTAATTCATATTACATTTAATACAGGGTTTTCTAAAAGAAGAGGATCACAGGAAAGGAACTGTTTCATTTACCCAACACTTTGAGCTGACTGATCAAGGGAAAGATGAAGCAGGTTACAAATGAAAGTTTTGCTGGAAGCACAGAGTTTAATACTGAACAATACATGTATTACCTCTGTCCGGTCTCATCAATAACAGAAAGTATTTGCAAAATTTTGCAATCTCAAAAATCTGGTGGCAGTTGGAAATCACTCTTACTGTTACAGAAATTCAAGATCAAGTATGAACACTGCAGCAAATATGTATGCTACAAAATGTGAAAGCATTAGAGAGTCTCAAAAATTATTGATACAAAGAGTCAAATCAGGTAGAGTTGCTGATGGAGTCCAGAGAGAGCCAACAGGAGAAAGCAGGGGTTTGGCATTAGAGTGCAGAAGAAAGCAATACAGTTCTCCCAAAAAGAAAAGGACTGCTTGTGCATGATATGTGAAGAATGTGAAAGAACAGAAAAATGCCCAGATAGTATCTCATTGGCAGATGAACTGAAGGAAGTAACTGATGAAAATGGTGATAGACTTTTAAAGAAAGACAAATGGCTAAATATTTCACAAGTAAGAGGATATATTGCCTAATATTTGTCAATAAAATCTAAGAGTGTCTCTGTACCTCCCTCTATCAAAAATCAATTGTTGTCTGAAAGATGTTTTGAAGATGTTTGTATTGATGAAGATGAAAAACTTGCAGAGATTGTTTCTGCTTTTGGCTCAAATGAATATGTTGTTCAAATGATTGGGTTGGTAAATGATGTGTTTACTTCTGTAAATATTCAATAAATTTATATATGCATACATGTTTTGAAATGAAAGGTCCCAATATAATGAGCCATGGAATTAATTTTGACATTCTGACATTTACATGATCAAAATTTTCATGTGCATGTACATTAAAATGTTATAATTTAATTCTGGTTGTAACAAATTTGCAATTTGATGGAACAGAGAATTTTTTCAATATATACAAACATTGTTACTTAACTTGTCTATTTCACAATATGATGTGTATCAAAGAAAGTATCAATCATATTAAAAGAATTAGTTCCTAATACATGTGTAGCTCCTTATATGTGTTGGAATTAACAGGAATGAAAATAACTACAAGAAGCATGAATTCATTATAAGTGTGTTCACTGTAACTAACATTATGTACATGATATACATGTAGTATTTACCGTACATTGTGGAATTAGAGATCACAATGCTAATTTTGACCTTTTTGCACTTGCTTATTGAATTCAAAGGAGAGCTATCATATAATATTCAACAGAATGTTGAAAAATAATTAAACATATTGATTTTTTCGAGGGTGTCGGTTTTGTTTACATTTACGATTAGGTTTTCTCCTATATTTTAAGTTTAATAAGAGGGGACTTTTATATTGCGTGTAACCCCCCCCCCCCCCTTCTGATGGATTATTATGAATTAAAGAGGTGTTATCTATTAAACTGTGATTATTATGTTTGATTTCTAAAATACAGATATGAATAATACCATAGAAACATTTTTAAAATATTTTTGGAAAACTTTTAAAGTATTTCATACACAACACTTATTGTTTGCTTGATATCTTTGATGTGAAAATATAACTTAGTTTGTCATTCAATATAAACTAAAGTTTAAATTTGCCGTCAGCAGTTTTTTTTATATTTTGTTCAGATTAACATCCTTAACAATAAGCAGTAAAATTTTCTAGATTATAATCACCATTTTGGTTGTTATTTTGATATCAACTATACAGAAAATTGACATTTTTTCAAAAAATTGGAACAGTGCCAATTTTATGACCCTTTTGCACTAAAACATGATGGATGTCAATCATTTTACTATGCATCTAAAAAGTACCAACCATTGTTCTTTAACTTCAAAATAAAATATCTTAATAATTTTGGAAGTTGCAGTTTTATTTCTTATCAAAATATGACTAAAAACTATAAAATATGACCTGAGATTTTGTTGCATAAGAGCTATTTTTAGTAACAGATCATATAATTTATACCGGTATGATTAGTACAATAAAAAATTGTCTGATTTCCATTCATGCATGCTAGATTTAGCTCGCAAAATTTGAAGGCAATTGGAGAATCTTGCTACTGGACCATTTTGCATGTTTTTCTCTGAGACACGCTCTTAATTTGTGTGAAAAAACGTGAACTTAAAAAGTTTGTTCAGCTGTATAATCCTATAGTAAATGTACCTGTATTTTGAGGCGGTCCCTCAAAATACCTGGATGATAGATTTCCCCCCAAATTTGGCATAGACGCTGAAGATATTGTTAGTTATATATGGTTTAAAAATGAAGAGATTCGCTATTGAAGTTTTCACACAATAAAACCATAGCCGACCCCCTTAAATATAGATCTCAATTTATATCTTTAAAACAGATTGTATGCAGTTACTTAACAGGCCTTGTTTAGTAATAAAGAATTATTCAAGAAGTCAACTTATGAAGATAAAATTTACACGGATTTTTTTAAACCTAAAAATCGCTCATATCTCAAAAATTGCGTCGTTGACCACAACTTTTTCCTACATTATCTTCAAAAAACACTATACTTCAACCGATAAACACTATAGTCATAAAAAATATTGGTTATTAAGATCTTTTATACCCAAAAAATGGTAATTTTGGTGCACAATTGCCACACATTAATTTGCATAATTTATTCAATAACAAATACACTGAGTAATTCGGATTATATTTTACGTATAATAAGATTGCATCTATTGCCATAATTATATCTGATAGAATATTATAAATACTAAAGTGAATAACCAAAACATTACAATTAAAATGCAAAAAGCTCAACTTAATTTTACCGTTGCTCGATAAGATGCACACTGAGCCCCATTTTCTTTGCAATTTTGAGTTTTGCTCTATTAGTACTTATCGAAAAAAAAACCTTCAAAAATCCTTGATATTGCTTATTTCACAAGTGACATACTTTGAACCTAATTATTTTTGAAATCTAATTTTAAAAGTCTATATTCGGTTTAACTTATTCATGTGAATTTTATAAACATAACTCAAGTTAATTTTTTTTAACGCAAACGGTTTTTTGTATCACGTCCTTAGATGATAAAACAATTTTTCATATTTTTTTTAACTTATGTTGCTACACAGTCCTGCATTACCGGTATGTAATTTATAGCTGCAACCCATTGCGACATTTAAGCTCTTTATACCCCAGATGGTTTTCTTTATGAAGGTGACAGTTTTTAGCTACCTTTAAGGCTTATATATGAGAAACCTGTGAATATTTTAGATTGCGTGTCTCCCAAGACTGCACATTAATCCAAACTCTGAAAACTTACACCACACAACTACATTTATAGAACAAAGGGGATAGTAACACGGTATGCGCCTTGTTTTCGGATGTTCTGTCATAACTTATTCAGGCATTCAGTCGGCCAGAAGTTTTACATTTTATAGGCTTGGACAAATGGGCGTAAGTTCCTTTACTTTTATTATTAAGTCTTTCTATGTATTGTACATGTAGCCATGATATGATTATTTAACTGAATACAGGAAAGTCTGGTAAAAGAACCCTTAGAGTTTGCTTTTAACATTACGTATTTCCCTATATCACTTTCTGTATTTTGCACTTGTTTCTAATATCCGAGGCAAGCAAATCAAGGACAAAATAATGCTTTTAATGCTTTACATGTAAAACATAATTAAACTTTTATAATTTCTAAAAAAACAAATAGCTAAAGGTAATACAATCAACACTCACATCAACTTTCGTTTTATGTCCTTTTGGTTTTAAATTTCCTATCCTCTAACGAAAATTATTTTGCAATCATTTCGGTTACATTGGTAATTAATTTTTACAGGATAATTCGACTATTTAGCAGGGAAACACTAATTATCCTCTATTTTTCTGGTTTCGAACGAGTTATATTTTAAGGTAAAATATCACTCTGCTCCAAATTTCACGATTTTTTTTTATAATTTCATCCACTGACTTTCATCAAAACAATAACATTAGATTTAAATGGAAAGTAATTTTTAGTATGTGTTGCTTTCTTTTTAAAAAATAAATATTATGTCTAATCAAGATGTGAAGAAAATTTGATATGGTCAATATCATGATCAATATTTTTTTATCGCATAAATAAACATGAAGTATATGAAAATAATATTTACATTCATGCCTATCTAATTCCCACTAAAATTACAATGAAACGTTGATTTTTAAATTAAATTATCAAATTGTTTTCTGTGGTTGTAAAACAATATGCATCTATCGACAAGAGTTATCTTTCCATTATCGCCCTTGAAAATATTTTTTAGCAAAACAAAATATTAATTAAATTTTTATAACAATTCCGCATCTGAGATTTCTGTAAGAATTAAAAGACTTTTATGTTAAAAGATAGAAATATCTTTAAACAGTTTAATGGAACTGAGTAAAAATGTTTTAGGTAAACTATTATAAATAATAAATAAAAATACTGGCAATAGAAATTAGAAAGTAGAATCTGTACAGTAGAACATATTTGACTGAGTTGACAACAAAGTGGTCCTCATTAATGAATTCTATGAAATCTAGCAACACGGTCCATTGAATTTCATGGAAAATAGTCTTCAGAAAAATATCTCTCCTATCAGAGAGATATTACACCTTAAACCCTTTTTTACCAATCTTCTTTCTGCGCAGGAACCTCGTACTATGACATCATTTTTGGCTGCTTGAGTAGGTAAAATACATATCGAGTAGAAATATATATAGTGAATATATTGGTGCAGAAAACAAATAATTTCACTTGATTTCCCTGTATTTTTAGTCCGATGTCAAAAATTATATTTTGGCTTTTACTAAGACCACACCAACTAAATGGTTTGATCGTCGGATTTGCATGCTTTCGTTAACACAAAAATATACAAATAATACTTACCATTTAGTAGTTACGAATATAGCCCATAATGTTGATAATGTCCAACCATAGATATATCGACATCAAACAAATCATGTCTATTAAGCTTTTCTGTGAAGTTGAAGTATCTGTGGTGCAACCTAATTAAAGGGCTACATTAGTTATCGTCATTCAAGTAAGAAAAATTAATTTGAAACAAAAAATCACTTCACGAAGCATAATCCGCTTTTACTGCGCGCACATATGGAAAAAGAAAATCTAAAATGTATTTTTCTTTCGACCTACCTGAAGTGCATCAGTGCTATATATCATGCACATTGTTTACATAATGCCAACAGAAGGCAAATATCCAAATTAGAATTGTTGCCCTGTATTATTTAATTTCCGCTGCGGTCATGACCCATTGAACTGTGTTTTAAAATGATTGGAAAATATCGGTATATTGAACAAGATGTACATTTAAACATTCAATAAAGGCGGGATTTATTTGAAACCATCAGTTCAATAGAAAGAAAAAAAATCATTTACAATAAAAATATGACTTAAAAAATGAAACAGTATTTCATTTATTTAAAACGCGATACTCATTAATTAAGGCTAACCACTCATGGACCTCCGAGGATACACAGTCATGTAGATTTTTTTTATCTTTATTGTTAGGGCATTATTTACACATTGAATTATCCACGTATTTTGACAGCATGACTAGAAGCACAGGGCAGGTGTGACCGGTCGGCAAGGGATTTTCACTCTATAGGGCACTTGATCCCACCTCTGATGTTTTAGAGGTTCTTGTTTGTTCTGCTCATTTTTATTATGTTTAATGGAATTTTAAGCTTGAATTCTGTTTGTTATCTCCATATATTTCATTTTCACAAGCAAACATGTACATGTATCTGTGCTGGTGGACGGTCCATCTCCGAGGATACCT